TGACCATTTTTTTTTTAATTTTCTTTACATTATTTTTTTTTCGATGAATCTTTCTTTGAACACAGGTACAGAAATTTACTCTTTTCTTTTTTTATAATAAACAAAGATTATAGATTTGATAAGTTTGAATTTGAAACTCGAATGTTTTTCTTTTCGTTCGACACTCGTGCGATTTTCGTCCAATGTGAAATAACGAAAAGGCTACGAAAGAGAGAAAAAAACAAAATGAGCGTAGAGAAGAGAAAAATGAAAAATACACTAAGAGAAAAAAATTAATAACAAATATACGATGCGTATTCTAATTACATACACACGATACTACTTGTTCTATGCATGTGTGTGATTCGGGTAATTACCTTTATCTCTTGTTTCAATGCGATTATTTTCGGAAGATCTCCATCTTTTTCTTTGCGTATCACTCTTTGTAATAGTAATCCGAGATAATATATGTACATATTTTTCTCTTCGAGTCATGTGGTAACACGCTAATTCGACGATCGAGTTCTTATTCTTTTCACCTCTTTCGTGTCTGTAGCTTTGTGCACGGGATTTTGAAATGTAAAACACATAAAAAAAGAAAAGTAACAAAGAAAGAGAGCGCGAAATCCCCAACAAAAAAAAAACAAATAAAAAGAATTCTTTCTTGGATCGCAAACGTAAAAGCACAAACAATACAAATTTTGTCACATAATGCGATCAACTACTGGTTGTTGCGAAAAAGTCGCGACAACGTGTCTCTGACTCTTTTTTTTCCGTTTAATTTCTCTTATCATCTGTAACGAATTTGTTGAGTCGACTCGTTTGTACATTAAATGTAGCAACGATAACAATAATAATAATAATAATAATAATAATAATAATAATAATAATAATAATAATAATAATAGTAATAGTAATAATAATAATAATAATAGTAATAATAGTAATAATAGTAATAGTAATAGTAATAATAATAATAATAATAATAATAATAATAAAAATAATAATAAAAATAATAATAATAATAATAATAATAATAATAATAATAATAATAATAATAATAATAATAATAATAATAATAATAATAATAATAATAATAATAATAATAATAATAATAATAATAATAATAATAATCATAATAATAGTCATAATGACGACGACGATAATTATACAATATATAATATGATATAATATAATATAATATAATAATAATAATAATAATAATAATAATAATAATAATAATAATAATAATAACATAAAAATAACAACAAGGAGGCTTTTCGTGATGCACACGTTCTCAATATTTGCTTTCTTTTCACTTATTTTTTTTTCATTTCGTATTATCGTTCAATTATTCGTTACAGAATGGCGGGTCATTCAAAATTGGCGCATGGAACGTATGGCGTATGTTGTGTATGTTAGATAGATAAATAGATAGATAAGTAGGTAGGTAGGTAGGTAGGTAGGTAGGTAGGTAGATAGATAGGTAGGTAGAAAGAGAGAGAGAGAGAGATGGGGCACGGATGCACGGCGTGCGTTTAATAAAAAGAAAAAAGAAAAGAAATTTTTTCTTGTTTTCTTTCGTATTCTTTTTTTTTTTTTTTAATTTTTTACCGAAATCGGTTGATACAGAAACATCAAATTAAAAGAGAACGCCGCACGCCAAGCATCAAGCCTCTCAACGGCATCGGTACACAGCGAGACTTAAAAATTCTTAAATTACAATCTATTGAACACCGTTCCTTTTATTATTGATAGTCATAATCAAACAATCAGTGCATATAAAATATACTAATTCTACCCAGCGTCAGAAAAGACTCGTCTTCTCTAAAAAGTTCCCTATAAAATTTCATCGTTTTCATCTCTGCTCTTTTATTTATTTATTTATTATTTATTATTTATTTATTTTCATTTTTTTTGTTTATCTTACGCACTTTTTCTTTTCATTTTTTTATAATTATTATTATTACGCGTCTTAATAAGATCTTATAACTCTTATTTGGCACTAGAATGCGATCGCCGTCAGCGCGTTTTCTCGAAATAGAGGGATATGCACATGCAGGTATATATACGTATGTACGTACGTATTTATGAATGTATGTATGTATGAATATTATGTATGTATAGATGTATATATGTACGTATGTATGTATATTTGTGTATGTATGTATTTAACGCGCACCCGCGATCGCCGATTTTTTTTATAATAACAATTTATTCTCTCTTGTTCTTTCTTTTTTCCCTTTTTATTAAATTATTATTATTATTTTCATCTTCGCATCGCTTTCTTTCTTTCATCGTCATTATTTATGTCGCTTAAAAAGGCACCAAACGGGGGATTACTCCACTATATATTATTTACTGGTTCCCACTGAAGTACGTTAATTCAACGTATATACATATAAAATTAAAAGTCAACCGCTTTCGTTTCTTTCTTTCTCGTCTTTTTTTAACTCTCATTTTCTGACGCATTCCTTCAAAACTGCAACGACGTTAATAGGTTTTACCAACTAGCGCTAAAATATATTCGATATATAACCTTTGTTTATATATATATAATATAATATAATAATAATATATATAATATAATTTTTAATATAATAATAATTAATATAATAATAATAATAATAATAATAATAATAATAATAATAATAATAATAATAATAATAATAATAATAATAATAATAATAATAATAATAATAATAAATGATGGCGATAATGATGATGACGACGATGATGGTGATGATAACTGCAATAATTAACGTGTCGTGTGTATTTGTGTGTAATTACACGCACACACATCTACACAGTGAAACGGCTAGACGGAAGGCAGATGAAGTAGACAAAGGTACGTAAGGATAAAGAGTAAAAGGACGTATGCGGCGACAAAGGACAAAGAGGGGTGAAAAATGAAGAAACAATTTGTGTGTGTGTGTGTAAGTGCGAACTGTGAATATTCTTGTAAGTGTAAGTGTCCGTTTATGTGTATATGTGTTAAAATCTATCCGATAGTACAGTCTGCTTTTTAAGCCTCATCATTTACTTATTTTTTTTCTTCCGTTCTCTTTCAAGGTGCTTCTTTGCAATAGTCGCCAGTGCCAATGATGCGCGAGAACTTAATGGTAAAAGTTTATTTGACTAACGTTCCCTTTTATAAAGGGCAAACAAAGAAGAAAGAAAGAGAAAAAGAAGAAGAAGAAAGTACAAAGAATAAACACATTGGCACGACACACCCTTGCAAGAAACACGGGTATAAATATAATATACTCTACTTAATTTTTTCTTTTTTTTCTTTTTTTCTCCTTTCTTTCTCGTTTTAATGCAATTTCATTTAAACCCATTCCACCCACGATGCATAAATTAATTAAAATATGTTCCTAACACGAAATTCTTCAACGAGACGACTGCGATACCGACCACGATTGGCGTAAGAGAGTCGTTTAAAAAAAAAGAACAGCACAAAATAATTACGCGTTTTGAAAACTCACATTTTATGTTTTTCTTTTTTCAATTAAAATCATAATATAACTCGTCGAGATAGCTGCATTGTGTTATAATATCAACGAGTCACGTCATATATAAACATTTTCAATAGGTGATATCGATATTCTATCTATCAATTTTTCCTATTGTTTTGTTTCCTTTCCCCCCTTTTTTTAACGAAAGATACAAGTAACGTTCTCTCTTCTGCATTCAAAACGCCTTAAGACGACACGTCGTTTCTTCTTCGTTACAAAGATTTCGGACGATTTGAACTTTCAATTTTGTACCGCGAGAGAAAATATTTTACCTCTCGTTAAACGATAAAAGAATCTTTATCGATTCTCTCGCACTCGGTGCGAACGTTCTCTTCCGTCGATATAATGCGATTTATTATTAATTTTCAACAATCTTAATTCTAAAGTATAACAACGTTGAAGGCAACGCGTGTACGCACGAAACACGAACGTCGGCGTACGATTAAATTTTAAGAACACGTTTTCGATATCAGTTACTACGTTCTTCTCACCTATTTCTTTTTTCTTTTTTTTTTTTTTTTTTTTTCTTTTTCTTTTGAACACATTCTTTTTTTTGTACAGACATCAATTCTTAACTCTTTGGTCACGAGCCTTGAGATGCCACTAAGGAGTTTGGAATACACATTCGGAGATTATGCTACTTGTAAAAAATAAAAAATTCTTTCGTGCAAATAAGTACGGTGTACAGTTATTTCACGTATCTTTGTGAGAGGGAAAAGAGAAAGAGAAAAAAAAAATAAAAATAAAAATAAAAATAGAAATAAATAAATAAAAAAATAACTAAAAATAAATAAACTCAACTGATTTGTATAAAGCCTGCCGATATATCGAGATAAAAGTCAAAGAAATGATTTCTTTTTAACTAGTTTTTCTCCTCGCGATTTTGTCTCTTACGCCAAACTTTTCGATCGTGATCACAGTAGCTTCGCACTTTTATATATACATATACATATACATATACATATATACGTATATATGTATGTGTATGGGAACTAATAAAAATCGTACATCTTCCCAACGGTAACTCTATGAAAGGCCTACAAATCCGACCAACGATCATCGAGCGAACTTAGTCGCTCGATTTGTTTTACTTTTGTCCATTTTTCTTTTTTCCTTACACGTTTCAACTACTAACGAGTCGACTAATATAACGATACAAACTAAAAGAATCACCTAATCAACCGGTTCGCGGAAATTTATTTACTAGAGACGTATATAGATTTGCAGGCGATCCAGGAGCATCTCTATACCCTGCTATTTATTTATTTATTTATATATATATATATATATATATATATATATATATATATATATATATAATCTAACGCACGATATCTCCTCATTAACATCGTGCTTTCTTTGCCCTCTCGTAGAGTTTTCCTACGTAACATCGTTTATCTTTCTGCCATCTAAAATTGAGTTAGTCTTAGCCTCTCAGTGATTATCAAATGTGAGTGTATAACTTTACTTATTATTTTGTTTTCTTTCTTATTTCTTTCATTATCTCTCTTTTCTTTTTTTGTTATTTCTTTTTCTTCGTTTTACTTTATTAATCGATATAAGCTGTCTAGCCGCTGCCTTTTTGCACTTTTTGTATTTTGTGTGTGTGTGTGTGTGTGTGTGTGTGTATTGATATATGTGTATGTATGTACGAACAAATATCAATTTATATCTTTTCCATCTATTTTTTAGATCCCCTATCCCTCCCATTCGCTAACCACCATAAACAACGATCACTTTGGACGGGTTACCTTTGACCCATCTCTCAAACATAAAGCGATTCCTTTTTTTCCCTTTTTGTTCAAGTCTGACCGTAATCGTGTTTCCAAGACGAAATATTTCAATTTCAGGCGACGAAGTAGTTCTATATTTCAAAGAACGAAAACGATCTTAAGCTCTACCTTTAAAAATCCATCAATCTATAAACACACACACACCATCGACGGTGATAGCTGTTATTCTTTGGTCCATGAAAGTTTCAAATATATTCTCGTGATACAAAATCGAGCCCAAGAAATACGGAATATGGAAAACACACGTGCATACGCGACGACACGTTTCAGCCCGATATTCCCATTTTCTATCTTCCTATACGTTACTCGTCTTTGTTTTCTATTTTTTTTTTTTCATTTGCCTCCTATCGAAAGCATAACGTCATGGTAAAATCTAATTCGTTCTTCTTGTTATACTTTTCTGGCGGCGATATCTTCTAATATTTTTAATAATAATAATAATAATAATAATAATAATAATAATAATAATAATAATAATATATATATATATATATATATATATACATATATAATTCATATCCTCTTATATTATTTTTATCTCTCCCTCCTAGATTTCTAATCGTCTCTATCGTTTTTCTTCTTTCCATCCTTTTTTCTTTGTTTAATCTTTCTAAACACTTGATATCTCTCGAATATAACGAACGAACACGAACAGTAACACTGGTCGCAATCGTGGGCGACAGCGTAGAAATTTTCAAGTACAACTATCTAATCCCGTCGTCATTCTATTACCACCGCTACATTTTCATGCGAGCGTTTTAATTTTGTTCTTATCTGTTTTTTCTCTTTTTTTTTTTAATATATATATTTATATATATATTTCTTTATATATATATATATATATATATATATATATATATGTATATAAAGTAACAACGGAGAAGGTTTCGGTTATCGTAATAATTAATTAATAGCTGTAATATTGTAATTATACTATCGTATAGCCTCTAATCTTGTCTAACGTCTATGTCCAACTAGTTGAAAAAATAAAAAGGAAAAAAAAAAAAGAAAAGAAGAAAAAAAAAGAAAGAGAAAAATTTGTATACAAATCATCGTCTCGGTCCCCTCTCCCGCGTAACAACAAACGATTCATCGTCGTTGTTGTCATCGTCGTCGTCCTTGTCGTTGTCGTCGTCGTTATCGTCGTCGTTGTCGTTGTCGTCGTCGTTGTCGTCGTCCACGTGTAAGGCAGATTTCCGTTTGCGGAACTGGCCAACCACGAACGCAGATATTGGCTGGAGAGAGCCCCGTTAGAGTGTAACGTGCAAAATATTATTTCATTACAACTACGATTGTATATTTTAGTGCTTTTTTCTCGTGACTAAGCCTATACACCATTGCCATAGTCGTAACCCTTTCGGCCAAATATTTAAAAATGTTTTTCTTTTGTTTGTTTTCCTTCTTTTTTTTTGTTTTCAAAGCTCTCGCGATTGCGTACATATCTTCTATCTCTCACCCTCGAATCCTATTCCAGCTCTAAGCTCCAAGAATTTTTCAAAGACAAAATATGTTACTTTTGAGTAAAGGATCTCAATTTCTTTCTCAATTTTCATTTTTTTTTACCACATTCGAGCAATCTTCAGGATTAAATTTCTACTCTTATTTTTTGTTCCTCCTTTTTTCTTCCATTGCTACTATCTTGAATAAATCAAAAACGTAAGTCAGTCTCCAAAGGTTCGTTTCCTCTAAAAACACGACTCAAGAATATTTTAAAAACGCGACATTGAAATTACTCGAGATAATATAATGTATATAGAAAATACAGTCGTCGATTGTTTTATTTTATTTCCTGTAAGCGATCTTAAATTTTCTACAGATAGACTAGTAAATTTTGTTTCCTTTCTTGATATCTCTTCAATTTCATCCACTATATCTTTCCTTTTTGTTTCCAAGCTCCCTTCCTCCCCCATTCGTCCTCTATTTTAAGAAGATATAAGCGAGAACAGGAACGCCACGCACACACACACACATACACACGCGTGCGCGGTTATACTTAAATCTTAATAACATGCCCTGAGACGCGCACAGACTTCGTAAAGATCAATCGTCGTCAGCCCGGACGATGACGGCGACGACGGACCGACGACGTGCATAGCTCGATCGGGTACGATACAGCATGGCACGGCGTTAAGTTACTACTAGAGTGCCTTCAGTCTATCCAATGTCAGTACTATCTTGTATTTGGTGTCGTTAAAATCGTCCCTCTACAGTCTTTCAAAAAAATTGCATGCCCCGCTCCAAAAATTTGTCGTTCGATATTTCCTTCTGCCTTCCACCACCTCTTCAAAAACCCCGGTCTCTCTTATTATACACGTCACACGTCTTATCGCGTAACGACGTTTATAGCTCGCTTCACAACTCCCTTACCCTCCTGCCTTAGTTCCTCTCTATCTCTTTCTATATTTTATCATCGATAAGAATTACGTGCGCTACTAACGATAAACCGCGATAAACTGCGATAAACCGAGTTTTCCGAAGAAGCTCATCCACAAACGACTCAACAACATGGAGGCGAACGGTCATCGTACGTAATATTGCATTTACTCAGTCTACGTGGTTCCCTTATTTACTTATAATCGCGTACTTATGCATCCAAAACGATCGTGTTTTATATATAACCTCGTGTTAAGCGCATGTTATTATTCTTTTAGAAATGTATCAACTACTACACGTACAACACGTTTGATTTTCTTTCTGCGTAATTATTATTTTTATACTAAGTCTCTCAAGTAGTAAATATACTCTCTTTCTGCAATTAGTATTTTCTTTCTCGTTACACTTTTTTGTTTCTTTTGGATTTTTATACAACACTTATTCCCCCCTCCCCCCAATCCCCACTTCGTATTTTATATTTTATAACCGCATTCTCTGGCCGCCGCCAAACAACGTGTAACTCACGTTGACGTGACGCCATGAGTCGAACGGTTGTTATTTTAATATAATAATAAATTTTTCTTTGTTAAATTCATATAATCATCTGTGTATAATCCGCTAAATCCCTACGAGGGAGATATGCGGTAAAGCTCGTTCGTTTTGTAACTTTAAATGTTCCACGCGTGCTTAATATTTCTTTTTTCCCCTTCTATCTTTTCACCACTTTTCTTTTCAAGAAAGTAGAGCCCTTCGATCTCGTTATATACGATCTGTTCTCTTCGTTACAACTTTTTACTCGACGATAAATCTGAAGAAAGCTATAAACCTCAACTAAAATCACGCTAGAAAGGATTTTCTTTCGAACCATATAACTTCGTCCAAGGCAGCCATAATAATTCTTTAAATATTCATCTTTTCATCTTTTGTGTCACTCTCATGAAACAGTTAAGCATGATTCTTCTTTTTCCAAAACTACTACCAGAATCCTTCAATCGACCTAATCTCGCGAGAACATTGTTTTTCTTTCCATTTAAGGATTATTTCTCGTGTCGGCAGAAGCGATTTTAATGATCGCATTCTGCCTCCTCTCTGCGACTCCATTATTTTCATTTTCTTCATCTTCATTTTCATTTTCTTATTTCTTATCCTCTTGTTATCGCATATTCGATGATGCGGCCTAGTTTATGATGCGACAGCTCGCAGAGAGGAGGCAACAGCAGGAGATTATCGCAATGAACGATTTCCGAATCATGGCCATTTTTGGTAGTGGCCTACCGTTGCTGACCCATGCTACTGCTACCACTATTACTGACATTCATATGCGGCTTAAGACTATGAATGATCTTAACGTGGGCGACCATGTTGTCCTTTCTTGTAAACTCCTTGAAGCAGACCGGACACGGATAGTACTTGACGTTAGGCTTGTGCGAGGTGACGTAGTGCCGGCAAAAGTTGCTGATGTGTGTGTAGGTACGATGACATACGGTACACCGATAAACGTCGCCCTCCTTAACGCAAAAGTCTCGCACCGAGCCCTCCGTTCTCTCGTTTTCGACCTTAAACGAACCCTCGAAGTCGCTCTGACTGATCTCCGACTCGCCGGCGACCAGATTAAATATGGCACTGCTCAGATTGTCTTTCGACATTTTCTGCTCCGACTCCGAGTCGGAATGTTGTTGGGGATCCTCCCCCGCCGCCGTCGCCGCAGACGTAGCCGATTTGCCCTGAAGACTCGACGCGCTGTACTCCTTGCGAAAGCACTTTTCAAAGTTGATGCGTATATGCGTCGGCGATTGCGAACCACAGCCACTCGACGTTTCCTCCGAGTCTGCAATTTAAGAAAAGACTCCTCTTTAAGATGTTCTTGCTAAGCCCGCGCCGTATTTTATTTCATTCCTTAATATATCTCACACGTGATAAATAATACAGTAATAGTAATTAATAATAAAAATCAATTATTTTTCTATAATATAGATTATAACTAATTGATATGCGATTGTATACTATAAAATTATAATATATATATATATATATACACACACGCGCGCGCGCGCACACACACACGCACGCACGCACGCACATACATACATATATATATATTATATATATATATATTAAATATATATGAATAAATAAATATATATATGTATATACATATACATATATATATTTCCATATATATAAACGTATTACTAAATTTGTGGGGGAAGCAAGAGGAAGGGTAGAGCCAGCAAAATGTGTCACCGAAATTTCGAATCGCGCTATCTCATCTCGTACTTCAAATACTTTTTTCTTTTTCTTTTTGAATTTGAATTTGAATTTGAATTTGAATTTGATTTCTTTTCATCTGCTTCTAGGACGTCCGTACACGTCGTGTCTTTTATCCTTCTTCCGACTTTTTTCTCTTTCGCTCGATCATCCTCTCGTTGCCGCTCTCTTTCTATATTTCTCTCCTTTATCTCTTTCTCTATCTCTAACTCTCACTATCTCTCCCTCTTCCTCCCCTCTCTCTCTCTCTCTCTCTCTCTCTCTCTCTCTCTCTCTCTCTCTCTCTCTGTCTCTCTATCTATCTTCCTCTCTTTCTTTCTTTCTTTGTCTATAATTCGTCATCACGGTTTTCAAATTTGAAGAACCAAAAAAAGCAAAAAAAAAGAATAAATTTCCCGCCACCTCTACACGATCGTGCAATTTGCATTTTTAAAAAAGTCTATTCGTTCCAACTCCCCCACCCTCTCCACTAAACAATGTCGGATCACGCTCGCATATTACAACATATCATTCCCGATTTAGTTTTCTTTTTTCTCCCGTTGCAATATATACGCGCTCGTATGCACGTTAGCACGCACAAACGAATGTTTTCTCCTTCTCTATCTTTCTGTTCGTCTCTATCTCTATCTCTATCTCTATCTCTATCTCTATCTCTCTCTCGTTTCTATATCATCTAAAATGAAATATACATTACACGTGGTCCGCGTTATGTCCATGGTAAAAAACAATAAAAAAAAATAAATAAAAAAAATCCAAATCGAGCGTTAATTTCTCGAACTACTTGATTTGTTTTTTTTTTCTAATCATAGAAAAAATATAGAAATAACAATGCGACTTCGGTCCGTGGATTTTTTTAAATACACACATAAGCACACACACGAACATACGTAGGAGAGCAAACGAAAAATTTGCTCGTATACGTACGAATGTGTTTCAACTACTTTGTTCTATTTTACTAATATTGTTAACGATTAAATGATCTATGTATATGCATTACAATAATATATACAACGAAACACGTCTATGCACGATCTTTCATTCGAGAATCTTGCGTATGTCGTATGAGAGTCTGTTCGTCTTGTCCAATCTTATTTTGTCCTGTTTAGTCCATAATCCTTTTCTACGGGAAGACACGATCCATCGAGATCGAGGACGCTTGAGAGAAAAAAGTACGATTTCTAATTTTCGTATATTCCGCTTTCGACTTCATATATTATTATAAATAATATATGCGTAGTTTCTTTATATTTCTTTTCAGAGAATTATGTATATTCATTCAGCTTTTTCTTTTTATTAACTTATTTATTCTGGCATTTTTAAAACGACTCTTTAATTTTCTTTTTTTTGGTTTTTCGTATTTTTAAAAAAAAAAGAAAAAGTTTTTCGTTTGAGCGGCTGGCCTCCCTAAGTTCCCACGCTTCCCCCGCACAAAAGATTAATCTCTTGTAAATTCAAACGGTGACTCAGATAATCTCAACTCACCTGCGTTAAGAGAACAAAGCAACACGTTCACGGTCACACTACTGAGCGATTCTTGATCATCTTCGAACCACACTGTTCCTCGCGCGCGCGCGCCTGCGTTTATAGATTCATTTTTTATTGACGATAGATTAAAAAAAAAAAAAAAAAAAAAAAAAAAAGACGTACGTCGCACTTTTGATTTCACGGCTCTCTTTCTCTTTCTCTCTCTCTCTCTTTCTCTCTGATCTTTTTCGTTCTTTCAATTTTTTACTTTATTTGCTTATCTTTTATTTTTTCTTCTTCCATTGTAATTTTTATTTCGTTTAAATTTCATTGTTGTCCGGAGGTATACAAGTATAACACGTTATTCGGATTCTTCCCCCTCCCATTTTCATTGTCATTTATCTATCTATCTATCTATTTATCTCTATCTATCTATCTATCTATATAATATTTCAACCATCCGGCTATTCACCTAACTAGCTAACTGTTCGTTTATCTATAAAACTACCTACCTACCTACTTATCTAACTCTACCTTTTTTCTTCCCTTCATCAATCTTTCTTTCTATCTTCCTTTGCACTCACTCCTTCATATTTTTCCGCTTTATTCTTCTGCCGTTAAATATTCAGGCAACGAGAACGCAAGAGAAGGCGGAAGCGACAAAACCCGTCGACGTTCGTCGTCCGTTGTGTATATATGTATATGTATATATATATATATATATATATATATATATATATATACACGTATACATATATGTATGTTAACTTAATTCATTTTTAGTATATCTATATATGTATTTTTTTTCATTTAAATTCTCTCTTCTCATTCTCCTCACTCGTCGCGTGTGTCAATCGCACGCGAATCTTTCCTTATTTTCTCATAACACTTTTTTATTATATTGTATTTATTTATTTACTTTTTTGTTTTACTTTTTTTGCAACAAACGAATGCAAAGAAATTAACCAGCGTTTAATGAAATAAAGATATTAGAAAAAAGTAAGCACCGTTAAAAGCTGGCTCCACCCCCTCCTTTTACCAGTGGCCAATGGCAGCGAAGCGTTTCTCATTATTCGTGCGGTAGTAGCATATAATAAATTGAATGATCGAGAAAGCTAATAAAAATAATCGGAAGATCGTTGAAAAAAATTTGGCGCGAAATATGGTCGCGAGCGTGAACGAGAAACATGAAATGCATAGCGTCGGTGATAAGAAAAAGATATAAACAGAATAAAAAGAAAAAGAAAAATACAAAAAAGGCACACCATATAAGAAGAAGAAGAAGAAGAAGAAGAAGAAGAAGAAGAAGAAGAAGAAGAAGAAGAAGAAGAGAGAGAGAGAGAGAGAGAGAGAGAGAGAGAGAGAGAGAGAGAGAGAGAGAGAGAGAGAGAAAGAGAGACAAAAGAGAAGCAAAAAAAGGACGAAAGATGAAAAGAAATAACGAATGAATGAAACTTTTAAGAATAAAAATAAAAAATGAAGAAACGAAATCAGATAATAAAATAAGAACATAAAATTAGAGAATTACAATAAAAAAACAGATAAATAAATAAATAAATAAATAAAAAAAATTAAAAAAGAAGAAAAAAAAACAAGGCGCTGCTCATTGGCCGATTATACATTACGTGGGTATAACATATTCTCGGCGAGAATCGGTGGATGGTGGGTTTGATTTTTGAAGGCTACAGATAATCAAAAGGGAATCTCATGTATTTGGTAGCACGTACTAAAATTTGTCCGAAAATCCCCCCATTATTGCGGGAAAATTATCTACGGATTCTACGAGACGACAGCTTCCTCTTTTTCGCACACTTACGCGCGCGCACATACGCATACATACATACAAAGTCACATTCACTCTTTCTCTTTCTCTCGCATTCTTTCGAGTTTCATACAATAATACATACAATTGCATAAAACATTCTCTTGAAAAATTTGTTCAATCGACTTGCACAATACGTCAAGAGATCTGATGATTATTTGTGTGTTTGTGTGTCTGTCTGGCTGTATGTATGTATGTGTGTATGTATGCTGCTGTATATATGCATACATACGTACGTATGTATGTATGTATGTATGTATGTATGTATGTATGTATGTATGTATGTATGTATGTATGTATGTATGTATGTATGTATGTATGTATGTATGTATGTATGTATGTATGTATGTATGTATGTATGTATGTATGTATGTATGTATGTATGTATGTATGTATGTATGTATGTATGTATGTATGTATGTATGTATGTATGTATGTATGTATGTATGTATGTATGTATGTATGTATGTATGTATGTATGTATGTATGTATGTATGTATGTATGTATGTATGTATGTATGTATGTATGTATGTATGTATGTATGTATGTATGTATGTATGTATGTATGTATGTATGTATGTATGTATGTATGTATGTATGTATGTATGTATGTATGTATGTATGTATGTATGTATGTATGTATGTATGTATGTATGTATGTATGTATGTATGTATGTATGTATGTATGTATGTATGTATGTATGTATGTATGTATGTATGTATCATTACAAACACGAGTCCGAAAATATCGCCAAAGCGAGTCGAGAAAAAAGTGCGTGAGTATTGTTAGCGTGTCAGAAAAAAGGTAAAGTCAATTGGTGCGGCCTTTACATATATGTTTTGCCGTTTGCTCGTTTGGGGGCAATAGTTTATGGGATCATATCCTTATGAGATTTTCCATCATTTCTTGTCAATCTTCAGAACGTCTAACGCAAGTCGACTGTACTTATGTATCATCTCGTTAAAAATTCCCTAAATACGACGGATATTTTGTTTCTTTGCTTTCTTTTTCTTTCTCTTTTCACCTCTCTCTCCCACCCCCTCCCTTCCCGTGTTTTCTTCTCTATGTTTCGTTTTCTAAAATCGTTCTAATTCTCTAAAACCCCATGAAGAAAGACTACACGCAATCATGTTTAAAATCTTTTTTAACAAGAGTTCCCTCTCGTCGCGGCGGTTTGTGCATCCAAAAGGAAAAGATTCTTTTCTATCTTCTTTTCCTTTGTTTGTTTTTTGTTTTTTTTTCTTTTTTAATGCGAAATTAACCGTCGCGCGCGCATGTAAATGATTCCAATGTTTACCTTCGTATTTTCCGTACTTTCTTTATTCCCATAACGCACCGATGAGCGCGAATGAATAAACGAACGAACATACACCCGAGAAAATTTTCCTTTTTTTTTTAAGATTTTCTTTGTTAACGACAATCAACGAAAATCCTCCGGCGACGTTATGTCTCCCGATTTCACCGATATTTATTTCGAGTGAGCGCTTCTACGAGGATTTATACATTTCTATTTGTTTGCTTGTTTGTTCTTTTTTCATTTTCGTTTTCGTGTTTTTTTTTCTTTTTTTTTCGTTTTTTCTACTAATATGTATATATTCATTGTGTCTATTTAAGAGCCTCCCAGGTATAGATTTCGCTGCGATACTGCATCGTGGGTCGTTGCAGTCGCGCAGAAGAGAAGTAAGACGAAGTTAACAGGTGAAATTCTGAAAAGTTAAATCAATTAGCACATCGTATAGCAGTTTAAGTCGTCCATCCGCCACCGTACATATATATACATATATATATATATATATATATATATATATATATATTATTATTAAACTTAAATATACACGTGATCGATCCTCCTCTCCCGAATACATTAACACAATGTCGTAAAAGCATTGTTTCATAAAAGAAAAAAGGATGAACGACGACTTGTTAAATCGTCATTCACGTCGCTCGTTGTTTAATAATTTTTCTCAGTTGTATAAAGAAAGCTGTTTGTAAAATAATATGTCTTCCTTTTTCTTAAAATTGTCATCGATCGACTTCGACGAATCGTACGAGATAGTCGTAATATAATATTCACAATTTTGTCAACGTCGTCCGAATTCGACAGATCGTTTCGGCGAAACATTTCTAATCGAAATAGGAAAGCTTCAGACGACACAAAAGCATTTGATCAATCTGGTTCGATGTGTCTTCTCGACTTTTGTACAAACCAAGAGTAGAAAACATTACGTTTTGTTTGTTGTACTGTTGTCGATAAGACGGGGAAATGTAAATAAATAAATAAATAAATAAATAAATAAATAAATAAACAAATAAATAAATATATATATACATATATATATATATATATATATATATTAATGTGTGTGTATATTTAAAAACAGAAATATACAAAAAGAAAAACAATATAAGAAAAATAATTTCCTTTTTATATTAATCATCGTGACATTATCATACAATGCACACCATGTACGAATTATTTTCGATTTGTAGTCACGTTTATTTCTTTTATTTTATCGTATGTAAAAAGAAAAACTAACGGTGCATAAACGTATAAAATTATGGATAAGGTACATCATTTCTAATTACATAATATAATTGATCGAGAAAATGTTATCTTGATATTTTCGCTATCCGTAGGGAGTATTTTAATTATTCGTTTAACGCACGATCAAAGGTTGAGCAAGACGCGGACGAGAATCGCAACAGGACATATTTATATCTCGTGTCGTATGAATGACACAATAAAGAAATTAAATAGTCAGCGACGATTTTCGTCCACATGGCATATTATTATTAAAAAAGCCGTTAAGTTGCGCCCGCCTAGGATTAAACAACGTTAACAGCGATTTGGCGTTAGGACGCACGCAACTATCTTGTTAATCACGTAAGCTGAATTTGTTGAACTCTTACCTTGTTTGAAACTTTCGCTCCCTTGTCTACTATGCGGCCGCGCGAAGGTTTCTTCTGAGGCTAAAATAAAAAAAAAAAAAAAATAAAAAATCAATTAATTAAATATATAAACGTTAGTTGAAGGTTTCTTTGAATTTGAATAGAATGAATAACATTAAACTTTATACGATTCATAGTACTTTATAAAGACATATATAATACGAAATGACTAACCTTGCGCAGAAGTACTGGGCGTTGGTTCTGGTTCTCTCTTAACTCTAGGCGTTAACGATTCGTGAGTCTCTGTACCATTTTCCGTTGGTTCGTCCTTTCTCGCAGATGACAACGAACTGGCAGCCAAATTGGCCGCCGCCGAGGCCGAATTACTGATATTGTTGCTGTTGACATTGTTGCTACTAGTCGAAGAACCACTCCTATTATTGCCAGTTGTCTCGCTCTGGAAATCGATGCCCATCTTCATCTCCATCATTTCGGGTGAACCTTGCACAAGATCAGTACTCGAACAAGATTGTAGGTCCTGCCCAGTACTAGCTTCGCCAATTGGCGTGTCCGAGGAGCCGCTCAACTTCCTCGGCCTACCCCTTTTTCTCTTTGGCGCTGTTAACGCTGAACCAAGAAGCGGATGGTTCGACATATGATGGAACCTCTTTTGTGATACATGATGATGAGGTCCGATTTGGTTTATTCGGTGAAGGTTCGGAGGTGGTGGAGGTATTGTGTTTTGATTGCCAAGAAGTGATGACGTGATGCTGGGCAAATCGCACTTGTCCTCATTCACTTCGGTCAGACCCTTTATCCTTAGAGACTCAGCGACCCTCAGGAAAGCGGTTAATCTATCCTGATCGACGCTCACCTCACCACGATACATGAAGTCTAAAAGACTTCGCATATCCACATATGGGACGTCCTTGAGAATAACTATAGGGTGCTTGTCAGGATGACCAACGAATAGAGCCTGAAAACGATATACGTCATTTTTAAGTTTCTTTCTCTATTTCTTTACTTTTCTATTATTTTCTTTTTCCTTTTTTTTGAGATCATCTAATCTTTCTCTCTCATTTCTTACCTGAAAATAAGGACTGCACGCCGACAAGACCATTTTATGCGCCCTAAGCAGCTGACCCTCAACGGCCAGTGTAACATCAACGAACGATTCGTCATGAAGCAATTGATCAAAAACGGAGAGTAAATTGCTCTGATGGTTGTTCCAACGCAGACAAAATCTCTGCGACGCCATCGCTTCGCTTCTCAGGTCCGCCAGGTTACCGTTAATATCCGCTAACATCAGACCTGGTGTTGATTTTTTTGCTTGTGTCGCTGCTGCTGCTGCTGCTGCTGCTGCTGCCGCCTCGTCGTCGATTTTTTTCGCCTTCCTCGACGAAGCCACTCGCTCTTTCTTTCACTTGTATTCGTATTCTCTTCTTCATCGGCCACGATATATCATTCTTTATAACCTCGCGACCTAAAATATATAAAAAAAATTAACCTTTATCATAGAGCCTTTAGAACAAGAGAACATCATAGCGAACGACGATCAATCCGTTAAAAGAAACTATTCAATTTTGAAACGGGTGAACGTACTCTAACGTTACATAAGTTAGCCTACTTTTCTTATCGTCACCTTGGAAGGAACCCAAACGAGTAGTACGTGTCGCTTATAGACACACGACTGATTCACCCTATTTTACAGATTAAGTATTACTCCTTGATACTTTGTACGGAATGTTAAGGACACTTAACGCAATGCATATCAAAATGAATGAGATATTCTTTTTCTTTTTTTTTTCTTTTTTATTTTTTTGTTCCTTATGTTGCAATCAGCCAGCAAGTCTTCTTTCTATATATACATGGTACGACGATAACGGCTGCGTGCATAATCATGCGCGTAAGCCCCCGAGGAGACGACGATGTGTACGAGCTATGAACGTGGGTGTACGACCCTGGAAAACGTAGGCAGAGCGAATAGGCGACTCGCTCGGTTCGTGCCTTTTATGTAATTCTCTCCTCACCCCTTCACCAACCCAATCATGGTCACGTATGCAACGTTCGTTCCGCCAAGACTGCGAAGGCGTGGCAAAGGATGACTTTCTATGATCCTCTCAAGGGGAATTTTCGAAAGACGCGACATATAGCCGAAAGAATTTCCAAATGTCGAACTAAAAATCCTCAAACTTTTATGATTTAGATTATTATTTGACAACAATAAGGAATATATATATATATATATATATATATATATATAACCTTGATATCGATATACAAAGATTTAGGTTAGTTTCTTGACCTCTTCATTGATATTCTGAAACGACAGCGTTATAGGATGACACGATAGACATACTTTATGCATCTGATATACATATCTATCGAAGGAAACACCCTTCAGTTGATTTCGATCGTACGATACAATCGAATGAAGATAAGCAACGAGAATAAGAAAAGAGACAAAGCAAATAACAGAATAACTCCCTTCACAAGGAAGAAGGAGAAACAGTATATACTTGACGCCATATTTAAAGATGAACTCTGGTCACATGACCACATTAGATATTTTTCGAATTCCGTTATGTGACTCTAAAAAAAAAAGGAACGCTATAAAATGCATACTTGGCGTTCATTTGGTAGAAAATTAAAAAGGCAGAAAGAATATAAGGATCAACATATGATTGCATTATATCAATGGCTGATACAACAAACTTGGGAATATAGTGAAAGATGGAATAGAAAAAAAGAGTATTAAAAAATTGGAGAGCACTTTTTCATCACAGCAGCAGTAGGAGAAGTAAGCTGATGAAACATATGAGCCGGGAAGAAGTCGGCCGAGTGAATCAATAGCATTTTCTACGCATATTCAAATCGATGCCTAGGTAGTGTTTTACTGATTTCGTCTGCACGCATACGCATGCAATTATACTCACACATCTGTGTGTATAAGCACAAGGATCGTGTGCTCGCGCGAGCACGATTCGCACTAGCGAAGTGTGACCTTAAACATGCGACCTTGGACGACCTTGTTGATTCTACGGTTTTCAAAGTGAATAGCGCATCGCTATGCATCACCTTCCTTATGTCAAACATGCCAGCTTTTAAACATCGAGGAAAGATGATCTTAATCTTCCTACCCTTATTCCTTTTTCACAAATGTACTGAGATTTTTGCTTAATGTTACTTATTTAAGTTTCACGAAAAACTATATCATTCCGACGATAACAGTGAGAAAAAAGTGAAGGTCACTTGTCACAAGTGCAAACAAACATATATTCTGCGAAAATGTACAATGCAACCAGGTGCTCCCTATTTCTCTCTCTCTTCTCTCTTTCTCTCTTTTCTCACTATCTTTATTTCTTACTCTCCTTTTAACGCGTAATTCGTGAAGATGTATATCTCCGATGATTTTACAAGATGACTTTGCCACATTCAACCGACGACAATGACAACAAATTCCATTATTCGTCATTGACTAATTAAATGATATTTCTAGGAAAAGAAGCTTGTATCGTTGAAGGAAAAGAAAAAGAAACAAAAAACGGAAAAAAAAAACAAAAGGTAGATGACAGAACTTCTCTTAATATAGTGTTTTAAGAAGGATGGCGGGAAAAAATTCAAGGAACAATTGACTAACTTCCTATTCGTATATATCAAAAAAACAGGAACCGATAATCTCAAGAGTTCGTTGTAGAGGTTAGCATCAACGTAGGCGAGAATTAGGGGCGCGGTATGTGGTTTTCCTGCTCTTACAACACCGTCACGTTAACAAGCTGTATGCGCCTATGACGATATAACGAGATTTTCTGTTTTATGTATCGTCTCCATTTTCGAGAGAGAGAGAGAGAGAGAGAGAGAGAGAGAGAGAGAGAGAGAGAGAGAGAGAGAGAGAGAGAGAGAGAGAGAGAGAGAGAGAGAGATAAACAATTTAATTGAAAAAGAAAAAAGAATAAGAAAACAAAGTAAATAACACCCGATATTTTGTCATTCCACAAAAAAAAAAAAAAAAAAAAAAAAAAAAAAAAAAGAGAAAAAAGGAAAAGAAAAGAAGAAAGAGATAAAAAGAAAGAGAGTGAGGAGAATGGTATATTTTTGTTCTTACCAGCAACGAGAAAAATAGAGTTCCGCGAGACGTAGAGAAGGTTGGCGAGCGCATGGCACGAGAATCCTGTTGCTCGCGCGACGCACGTGCATCGTTGTTTCTCTTTTTCTCTCTTTAAACGCTCAAGCGCATGCGCGCCACGCTTAAGCCCGAACTCTATCGCGAGGGCATATGTGTGTAGGTTGTGTATACGTCGAGTGCGTATGCATGCAACTCACTTCTCTCACGGCCACCGTGCTCGTTGCGTAATCGACACCAGCAGCGGCAGAGTCACACTGGGAGAAGGAGAGAAGAGAAAGAAACTCGTAGAAACAGCGAACACAACAATGTACGCCGCTGCTGGTGCTAGTGCTACTAATGCTGCTGTTGCTGCTGCTGCTGCTATGTCGAATACCGTTCCATGCTGCTAGTGCTGCTATTACTGCTAGTGCTTCTACGTTTCAAGAACCTACAATGCTCGATTCGCTAGCTCCCCCGGTTGTTACTTGCTTCTCCACCCTCCCTCGTTTCTTCCCTTGACTCCTTAAGACTTCCCCCACTCCTCGTCACAATCTGCGCCACCACTTCCGCATATACTTGCGACACCGTACTAACTGGTGTCTACTAAATAGCATTGCCTTTCGCAATTTCCGATATCATCCATACATGTGTATTTTTGTATACCTCGACTTCGAATTACCCCGCAATGGAAATTTATTTCATGAATTTTAATGTTACAAGTCGAACTCGTAACTTTTACGAAGATAGACGAAATTGTTTTCTAAGCGTACTCTATTCTTTTCAACGAATTTTTATTTCTCGAAATTACATACATTTTACATATATATAAATAAATAAATATATATATATAATATATATATAAGATAATATATATTATATATGATATATATAAGATAATATATATTATACATATATATGATATTATATATATGTACATCGTGAGAAAAGAAGTGAGGTTAGGTTAAGTTTCACAACTTCTCAATAGATCATATAATTCACGAGCGGCTTCTATCGCTCGGTATTGTCGAGTGAAAGATAAAGATACAGTAGACACGTATCGGTATCTCTTTTCCGAGGTATTTCGCTGAATCATTCAAGGATAAAGGCGCGTTCGAAATTTCTGCTGGGAATCCTAATAACAACGTACGTCACTGAGCAGTCTTTTTTCTTCTTTTTTTCTTGCGAATAGAGTCGAACGGTCGATAATGAAGGAAAGTACTATAATTGATTATGCGATTGTGCTATTGAAGAAAAACGATTTTACCGATCAGACAAATATTTTTATTTTATATTTATAATTATTTTTTGATTAATGTCTATGAGCTTTTAACTACACTTTGATAATACGCATAAATAAATAAAAAATAAAAAAACTCTGAGCAAAGTACGGAGTATTAAGGCGATAAGAACGAAGAATTGAGTGAGTCAGAGAGAAAGAGAGACAGAGAGAGAGAGAGAGAGAGAGAGAGAGAGAGAGAGAGAGAGAGAGAGAGAGAGAGAAGAGAGAGAGAAAGAAAGAGAGAGAGAGAAAGAGAGAGAGAGAGAGAGAAAGAGAGAGAGAGAGAGAGAGAAAGAACGAGAGAGAGAGAGAGAGAGAGAGAGAGAGAGAGAGAGAGAGAGAAAGAACGATAGAGAGAATCATATAGATAGTACGGATGAGAAAAAACTAGTATGTGTATTTGGAAACATACGCGTACGTACATAAACATACAACATACACATACACACCTATATACAAACATTCTTATCCTCGAAGTAGGGTTGCTCCATCGATCGACCGAATTTCAGGCTCGAACTCGAGGGCAATCGAGTGTCGAGCAAGAGAGAATAAGGAAAATATAACTGCGCCTGCGTAACTTGATGATAATGACAATACCAATAATAGTTATGATGTTAGGAAGAGGACGTCTTTCACGAAATATATCTCTTTTCCACTCTGTTTACCGTTTATCACTTCTCGTGATTTCGTCGAATCAACAGGATTAAGGTTGTTCGTCGATCGATTTCCGTTCGCTTCGGGCGCCACTTGTTTATATATTACTGATGAGACTATCGAGTGGAAAATTTCAATAAAATCCCGGAACTTCGTCGGAGAGAGAGAGAGAGAGAGAGAGAGAGAGAGAGAGAGAGAGAGAGAGAGAAAACATCGATAGTAATCGAAGGCCGAACGATATATGTACACATATAGAGGGTAGTTGGACATGGAACAACACAATCTTTTCTTAATGTTTACTAGCTGATCGATACGAGGTGAAAAATGAGACGTAGCCTAAAAAGAAAAAAAAAAAAGACAATTGTAGCCGCTTCGTGCTACAACTTTTGTTTTCGCTCACTAGGTTAAAGCATACATAAAGTATAATACATTTATTTTCTTATAC